CCAGAATCAATGTCACAATGCATCGAGAGATTACATAACTTTTGCAACAAAACCTTCAAGTACAGTATTGCATCAAATAAAGGACATTAGTAATTATGTCCTCCGCATCAAATTTAATATATCAAGGATTTTAATCTTATCTATAGAAAGCGTCTTTGCACCAAACAAGGTTACCGTAAAAGGTGTACCTCCATAATTGTGCTTAACCTCGAGATTGCAAGGGAGTGGCAATCCCCGCACCATGGTGGCATTGGGATCAATGCTGATCAATAATGATCAATGCTATTATTAAGGTCGGTGATAATGAACAAAGTAAAAACAATTGAGGGATGAGTGGAGCAGGAGTCTTCGTTCAGGATGGAGTGTGTGGAATAATATAGAATTATTTTTGGCCTATTGTTTTCGTTCTCATTTTTACTAAATGTTAGTATGGTTTTAAATATAGGCCTATATTAATACCGTAAAATTGTATGCACTTGAAAATAACATCAATTAGTCTCCGAATGTTGCCTCTTCTTTTTCCATTTATTGTGAAAAGCTAGTCTTCATCACAGTATATAGTCCTATCTGTAAAATTACAATTTATAGATTTGGGTACAATAAATAGTAGAAGTAATAACAACTCCTTACTTTATCACTTATGTCGGCGGGAATACATCTGGCTTATTCATCATTTGTTTTTGCAGTTGTTTTCGCTAAGAAAAGTAAATGAAGAGATGTGTCGGGAGACATCAAACTAATCTTCTTTACGGATCAACTGATCTGAATGAAACATTCGGAAAAAGTTTAACCAAGTTACAAGAAAGAAATTATTATGTGCTGGCGACGAATCAGTCAAGGGTGTAAATGTGAGGGTCATTTCAATTTTTGAGGACCCAGACCTAAATATATCTTTAAAAAAAATCAATGGGTATAATTTAAACCTCGTATAACAGTTTGTCAAGGTCGAGTAAAGAAATTATTAAATTCAACTATCTGAATGAAATATTCAGAAAAAGTTTAACCAAGTTGTACAAGGAAGATAGTACTGTATTATGTGTTGGCGACGAATCAGTCAAGAGTGTAAACTGGAGGGTCATTTAAATTGTTGAGATCCCAGACATAAATATCTATAAAAGTTTTCAATGGGTGTAAATGAAACTTTCTAAGTGTCCAGTAAAGAAACAGTGACTGAATTTTTGTGATGATCTGGTGTAGGGTGTGAATATGAGGACCATTTAAACGAAAACGTCCCAGACCAGATATTTCAAAAACGGGTCAACTGATCCGAATGAAACTTTCGGGAAAGTTTAACCCAAGTTACAAGGAAGATATTTATTATGTGTAGGGGACGATCCAGGTTAGAGTGTAAATTTGATGGACATTTAAGTGCTTACGTCCCAGTTATAGATGGATAAAAATAACACTTTGCAAAAAAGTTTTTCATGGTGAAATGAAGAAATAATCCAGTTTTGGTGACGATCCGCAGTAGGGTGTGGATATGTATTTTTCGTTTTTATTATTAATATTATTATTAAAGTATTATTATTATTATTATTATTATTATTATTATTATTATTATTATTATTATTATTATTATTATTATTATTTCTATTAGTATAATTATTTAATATTATTATTACTATTATTAAAATTATTATTATTTTTGCCATTATTATTATTATTATTATTGCCATTAATATTATCATCATCATCATCATCGTTGTCGTTACCAACCTCCTTCTCATACTCCTCAACATATACGGTATAGGCCTAGTTATCTTCCTCTGTTATCAACATCAACACAACCATCGCTATCAGTTATCATTATTCAGTCCTTGCCAATACGATCAATACAATAATCACCTTCGACAATCCCCTCACTTAATCATCATGATTATCATTAGCCCATCCGCGAAGGGCATTATCATCATCCTCGCACATTCACGGCCATTGTACATTATGTCGTAGAAATAGACACTTACCGATCGTCTATATCTACCGTCAATTAGTTGATTTTATTGTTAGCACAAAGATTCGAAAGATGAAGATGCAACGCTTTATGTCATTTTTACGATAAGCCATTTTACAAGGTTATGACCTCTGATAACATTATCCACCATTCAGATAATTCCACAGGGTTGATGCTGGCAATTGTAGTAAGTTGTACGAGACGTGAGTAAGCAGTCTGCATCGACAAAACTTTTGTTCTTAACTTTAATTAACCTAATTTATTCAAAATAAAGTTTGGAATATTCATAATATTTTAATGAAAGTTCGAGTATCAGTAATAATAATAAAATAATAATAATAATAATAATAATAATAATAATAATAATTATAATAATGGTGATGATGATGATGATGATGATGATGATGATAACGGTGATGATGATGTTGACGTAGGCTATGACAATAAACTTCGGACAAGTCTTTTACTTTTATAATCAACGTCATAAATTTTACGAATGATGTAAATTTATAAATATAGTCTCGCCCATTCTTATTAATTTGTTTATTATACCTAGAAGTTAAGCAAAGAACACTCCACTAAACTTAATGTGACACTTACATTGCATCGAATTGTCTAAGCCTAACCTTGGCTTTGAATGAGTGAAATCCATTAGCTGAGGTCCTTTAGTCGGGGATGTCCTTCGGAGAGGCCGCATCCTTGAAGGGCTATCCTCTAACTAAAGGACTATATTGAACCATATCATTTTGTGTTAATGAATTAGAGGCCAAGACAAGAAAATATAATAAAATTCTATTGACTCAATTAGTTCCCATGAAAATGACATCTTCAAATTGTTATGAAATTTACTAAAATATTAATTTTCGTATATAAAATTATTTTCCTGCAAGAGCGGAAAAAAAAAAAATCTCTGTACAAAGGACATCTACTGTATATGCGTAGGCATACCGGTATCCTCATATATTTACTATGGCGATCGATTATAGCCGATCTATACTTTATTGATCAGGTGGGATATTTGCGTTCGTTGGTGGCGCATTTTGATTCAATATTGTCTTGTCACCTGTGTAACTGATTGATATACTATAAAAGAATTGGGTGTTTGTTTCCTTCTGTTTTCTTTTTTAATTGAAGTTTAAAATAGTATCCGGAGAAAATAGAAATTTGTAACATAACAATGTAATGTCATTACTTGTTACTGTCTGTTTGGGAAGACATTAAAATCTCTTCAAGTTGCTTTTGTTGACCAAAATGCCGGTCATATCAGATACCATCAAATTGTATAAAAAAAAAACTTGAACGTGTTCAACTCTTATTTTCCATCACATTTTATGTAACGCTTTTCTTTTAATGAAATTGTATAGTGTGACAAGGAGAGAGAGAGAGAGAGAGAGAGAGAGAAACAGAGAGAGAGAAAGAGAGAAAAAAAAAAACGGGGTACAAGCAATACCTCTTAAAGAGAACATAACAGAATTAAAAATAAAATCTCAATAACCTAAACCAATTTCTAATACAAAACTGCTGTAATTATTTTATGAGTATTCATGTCGTTTAATTTCAGACAAAATTCTCCTTTTGAGCATAATTATATTACGCTAATTTCTTGCCATTTGATAAAGTGCATTTTGGTTTTAGCGATCCCCTTCCCAATTTAGTATCTTCTTGAATACGTTTAAACGTTGCACTAGACAGAGGGCCTACAAATTATAGGCTAATCATCTAAAAAAAAAAAAGCAAAATTTAGGCCTACTTTTACTTTTTCTTTCTTGCCCTAACCAGACCGACATTGAGCCCGCACCTACTGCCGAATCGCTCTGGGAGTGTGCCTCTAACATCGTCAGTGCACACGATTCCTCGTCTGCCCATTATAAAACCCCGCCAAGTTCGCGTGCAGTAATCCCTTCGGTACCCAGCACATCTTCAAGGTTATAACCGCGGGAGAAAGCTGGATGCTGACTGATC